AGTCCCGGGGGCGTGTGCGGATGTGCATGCTAAGCTTCTCCTTTATGTAGTTGTATGCCTCATGAATATCAAAGAGGTAGCGCCCTGTGACACGGTGTGAGCAATAGATAAACGTTCTCTTTCTCTGAATGCCATGATGGCCCGTATCACTAGGCTCTACGAATAGCTGGATCACCAGGTAATCGTCCTCGAGCAGCTCTCGCACGACGTCGATCTTCAGATCCTTGGGAGACAGAAGGACGGGACTGCTACAGGTTTATGGTTGCCCCGACTCCTACACCCTTGGTGCAAGCAGGGCTCTGGGACGTTTTCGAGGATTAGAAGGGGTGTCCTCCTATCACGATGGGCCTTCGCCCAGGTGATGTAAATCAGCCCGCTGTCCCCCTGCTCGAATTTTCTCTTGTGGTTGGCCTTGCTGTTATCTGGGCAGGGAAGCCCAGATACGTCCACATCCGTTCTGAGGTTGCTAGGACAGAAGGAAGCATGGGTGCAGCATGCCTGACGAGGTGCCAATGTGCAGCCTTCCACCCTAGATCGTTTCTCATTAAAGGTACCCGGTAGGAAAAACAGTGGCTCTGGCGGCAGCTGTTGCAAAACGTCCGGAAATATGCACGGTAGGCTGCCTGTCTCCGGCAAGAATGTAGCAATCCACTTGTGGTGATCAATCACCAGCTGTCTACAATGGGGATCGAGCTCCTGTCATCAGGCACAAGAATTGCATCATGGGCTGCGCAAGCAAACTACATGTTGCATGCAGTGGCCATGTGCAGCAGAAGGACATGGCAGCTGACAGACTTGAAACAGCATGGCTTTTCGAGGTAGTTGGAGTCGTTGATGGTCTTGGTCAGCACTGCTGCTGCCATCTCTGCCGTGTATGCTCCTGTGCAGGAGCTTGACATTCTCCACGGCCGTGCCAACCAGCATGCCTGCGGCAGTAGCTTGTGGCCAGGCTACAAATGCGGGCTTCAATGTGTCAATGGACAGAGGGCCTGCAAGCACCACTGTGGCAAGACCCTCTCGTGCAGCAATTCCCAGGTCATCTGGATCGCCCTGGAGGCTGTCACCAGTCGTGGCTCAGCAACGGGCACCTGGCAGGGATGCAAGGTTATATCAGTCGGAGAGGGCGTCTTAAGCAATCATGGGCTCAGTGTATCCAGGAGCCTGGAATGGTGCACTGAATGATGTCGATGTCTGCTGCGAGTCGCTCGTTGTGGTGCTTCGGGAGAATTCAGTTCCAGTCTCTGAATGTCTACCCTGTCGAGGGCTAGAGAAAGACTGCAGCAGCGCCCGCATGGCAGGCTCTACATGTACCACAAAGCCCTTGCCCTACGAACGCTCTTGGGCCCAGGGCTGGCTATGCAAACATCAGGGAGAGCCCAAACAAGTTCCAACTCCCCTACTTTCATTCATGCAAAGCAGCTGTTTCACTTGCTTGAAGACTGACTCTCTGATGCGGGAATCCATCTGAGGACATGGCTACTGGGGGACCATATGCTCCAGCAGCAAGTTCATGAGACCAAAGAAACACCACTTCGGTCGGTGCTTCAGCAATGTCGGAGCCGTCGATGTAGACCTGGACGCATGACACATGGATAAGCCATGTGGTGCTTGTTGCAAACTGCAAGGGGTCACTGACTCAGGTGGGTACAGAGAAGTGCTTGCAGCCTTCAAGTTCCGTTCGTGCACGGAGAACATGAGCAACCTCAGAATTTTCACAAAGGGCACGAGCACCTTCATCCCGTCTGGTCTTCAACATATATCACTCACATTGGGCCATGCAGCGCAGATCTTATGAGCAAGCTGGCCCACACGGACATGCACCGTCTTGGACACCTCGGAGAGAGCCTTGCTTGCCCACCTGTCCTCAGCACGCTGACATTCCATGTGCGGGCATCACTTGGCAGCAGAAACCTGCAACATCAAAAAAGACATTTGGTCAGGGTACCTTGCCCCGGAACAAGCGGTCAGCCGCTTTGGCACACACAACGTTGGTGGTCAATGTGCCTGTGCGACGTCGCTTCGTGCCACCTGTTGAATGAATAGCAAAAGGCCCTTGATCGTCATCGTCATCACCGGGGTCTGCAACGTGGCTCAGAGCCCATGGAAGGTAAACATCATCAAGAAACTTTGCTACATGGGTCACCAGCGTCATGGCAGGGACGGAAAGAAAAGACTTCAAAGTCTTCAACTTGGTGTCCTTGTTGTTGATGGGGATGGGCTCCAATGACCACAGAATGAAGTCGAACAAACATGTGTGTTCACGGGAACTGCTTGGAAAGAGCCGTTGGTGATCGAGGACTGCTCTGTCCCATGCGAGGGCAACTGCTTCAGACATGCTTTCTGACCAGCACGCAATGACAGTGTCCTGTCCTATGGTCGCTTTCTCTAGCACCCCACGCCCATCAGATTCCAGCTTCAGAAACTCAAGTGGCACACCGTCCCCACGCGAACACACCAACTGCACGACTGCTCGAAACATCTTTCCTGCGAGATGGCGGGATGCAGGGCTTCGCTTGGACGCCATCCATCCCCACATCAGTGTGGCCACAAACACTGATGTACTCATCATGTTCG